TTATCAGGTAACTTTATTGGTTCTGGCTAAAATAAGCTGAATTGGGAATATATTTCACTTAATTTGGGTGTAGTGGTATATATTTAGATAGAGATCAATCATTACCATGTATAGTTAAATCATTGCTAGCCATCCCACTGTAGGAATGTGTTCTAATAATGTCTAGTGTCTCTAGGCATCATGACAGGAATGTGTAAGACTAGAGGGAGTATTACACTGTGAATGTGGATCGAAAATTTCCAATATATCTTTTAGAAATTTCTTATTCAACTACTTAATCTTTATCAGGATTTTCTTGATATAGTGTAACCAAAACAATATAGAAATAAGTTGCTGAAACTGATAAAAACTCAATGATTACATGTTTTTATACTTACTAGATAGCCTTTTTTTGCTTTATTAATTTTCTTTATATAAGTAAATATAACTCAGGAAATCTGTAACTTATAAAAATTTTACACTAATAATATTGTTCATATGTTTTAAATATTGTAAGATTTCATTTGGAAAGGGTCCAATTAGGGGAAAATTGCTGAAAATCTTAAATAGTATAAAGTAATAGTATAAAGTAAACATTTTCTGTTTGTTTAGTATTGTTACTTGCCATGGATGACTGGCTACTTTAACTCAGTAAGTGTAGTACTTCTTTATATATATAGTAATATATAATTATATATAGTATAACCTCAGACTTTGCTCCTGAGGGTTTCTGACTTCTTTGAACCCATTTGTTATAGAAATTAGCAATTCTAGCTCCAAAGTGATTAAAACCTTATGATAAAATATAAATTCCATAGAATATGTTTTGGAGAGGAAAACAATTTAAAATGTTTTTTTGATATAACTATTTTAATAATATATACTTTCTTTTTAAAAGGTAGCATATTATGACCATAGTTTTATTTGGGGATGATTTAGGGTTTCCAGTTTGAATCTCAGTTATTATTAAGTCATTCCATTAGAGAGAGATTATAGTTTAACTCATCCCTGACTTTTAGAAATAGGTCAGCATCCTAGGCCATTTTCCTCCAAGATTCCCTTCTTTCTCATACCCCATAATACCTGTTAAAACCATTATTATCCTCCATTTTGTAAACAGGGAAGAAGGTTCTGCCGTTCTCCACCCATACCTATTATTATCCGCAAACAGAAGATGTTATTAGGTATGTAAAGCATTACTTTCTATAGTGTGTAGTATAAAGAAAATTGGTGTATTTATTGTAGTATTGGCTATACGTTTTAAAACTATAGTTCCTGCCCTGCCCCTCCACCTGGTTTGCTTCCAAAGCACTGCTTTATGACTATAAGGGCAGTCTGCTTTTGATATAACTCCCCATTGATCACCAGGGTTGACTGACTAAATTGCTATCTATAAAAAGAATCTTGGGAATGACTATTGGGTTTGCTCTTTGCATGATTTGGCTACTCTTGTAGTTAATTTGCTAGGATACTGTAGTACTGTACTTGCTCTAAAGAGATGGAGTAATGACACCATCTTGCTTATTAGGCAGAAACTAGTATAAAATTAGGCTTTTTGTTTTACTATAGAGTCAGCTTAATTGGAAAAAGTAGAAGTGCTAATGGTTTTGAAAATAGGTTGATTCTGAAGTGTCCCTCTGGCTTGACTATTTTTCTTACAGCATTAGTGGTAGATTGAATGCTCTTTTACCTAGTGAAGTTATGTTGTAATCTGAACTGGCTTTCCATTTTGGCTAGTAATTTAGGGAGAATACTACTTTTCAAGACGGAATTCCTCACTTCTCTTTTGGGACCATTTCACTGCACCTTGGAGTAAATATGCAGAGAGGAAGTAACTAGACCCTAATTTCTGTAAGTTTAGATCACACCAGTTGGGGAATTTTTAATTGTGGTTTTCTAGCTATGTTAAGGCTGTATTGGTTTTGCTTTCAGCTAAGCTACAAAATGGGCAAGATTGAATTGCTCATCTATCTCTCAACACATGCTGAAACATTTTTGTGATACACAGAAGCTGACATAACAAACTGAACATAGCTAGGTGGTCCCCCAATTACCCCTCCCTCCTCTCCTCTCCTCTCCTCTCCTCTCCTCTCCTCTCCTCTCCTCTCCTCTCCTCTCCTCTCCTTTCCTTTCCTCTCCTCTCCTTTCCTCTCCTTTCCTCTCCTTTCCTCTCCTTTCCCTCCCCTCTTCTCCCCTCCCCTCCCCTCCCTTCCCTCCCTTCCTTCCTTCCTTCCTTCCTTCCTTCCTTCCTTCCTTCCTTCCTTCCTTTCTTTCTCTCTCTCTCTCTCTCTCTCTTTCTTTCTTTCTTTCTTTCTCTTTTTTTCTTTTCTTTCTTTCTTTCTCTCTTTCTTTCTTTTCTCCCCCTCTCCCCCTCTCCTTCGTTTTTACATGATGAGTGCTTTTCCTCAGTTATAAGTAAGTTAATTCTTAATGGAGCTGGTTTGCAAAGAGATGGGACTATGGAAGCAAGTCAACGTGAGATTATTATGCTGCCATTTTTAAATGAGCAAATGGATGTTTATGAGATGATGGCTTGCTTAAGATAATATTGCCTACTGAGAATTGTCTGACCTAGAGCCCAGATGTGTTGTTTTCCTAATAGTGTCTCTGTGCTATGTTGGATCATGTACATCCAGATCATTCTTTTTAGTTGACTAAGTTGATACATTTCTTTTACCTTTTGAAAGTTAAAAATGTCAGAAGGCGAGTCAGTAATTTATTAGATACTCTTTTAGAAGGTGAAAGTAAATGTGCCTTACCACTAGTAAAGTTTATTTTTGACCATTGTATCACTCTTCTTAGAAAGTTTATTTTAAACATCAAATTTTAAAAGTTTCTTGAGCTTTCTCTGTATCTCTCTCCCTCTCTCCCTCTCTCTCTCTCCCTCTCTTTTTCAGTGGGGTTGGGGGTGACTGGAGTGGTAGAGAAATCCATTGAAAACTGAGTTACCACTACCCTTTTCCTTTACCTTCGAACCAGGAAACATCATAGACTATATATACGTATTCTTAAGATACCATGATTACTCAAGTCTTTTTGAAGTTTCCCTTTGAATAAATGGATATGTAAAAGTAATTTGCTGTAAAATCTTTATTTCTGGATTTTCCTTTAAAAAAACTTCTTGAAAACATATTTTTACACTTACTATTTTGAACTGAAATGGTTATTAAAAACACATACGTTGGTTTTATTTAGATATACTTTTTATTGAAGAAAATTATTTAGAAAGTGGCAGTGCATTGTTTGTTAGAATAATTGAATGGGTTGCTTTGGTTAATGGTTATTTATTAGTGTGTTACAACTTAAACATATCTGTGCATTCAGTCTTTATCCTGTTTTTCCACATCTTTTTTTTAGGTTCTAGGACTTTTTGTTTGTCGGAAAGAGGATATCTAAAATGGTTATCATTACTATATTTTTAACCATTGTAAACTTGAAAATCAGGGCTTAAAGGTAAAACAAAATTTAGTGCTGCTTAAGTGTAGAATTCTTAATTGTATAGTTCCCTCTTCTGTCTTTTCAGAGCTATTGCACCATATTAAATTTTTCAGATTAATTTCAACAAATGTTAAAAATTACCAGTAGACTTAAATTGCTGTTTGATTCTCTGGAGTTTGAAGGACTCCTGTGTCTGTCTGCTGCCTGTATCTCTAGTATTTATGTTGGGGTTGGAATTTGGAATAGGCATTATGAGAAGTTATTTGTGGGAAGTAGGAGAGATTGGGTTACAAAGTAAGTGACACAGTGAAGAAGCATACAGACAATTTCAGAATACAGGACAGCTAATGTGGTTTCTCCACGTCAGTGGCATGAAAAAGAGGGACATGGGGAGTTACTATCAAGTAAAAGAGATCTAAGAAACATAACAGCCACATACGAAGAGTAGTTCTTGTTTGGATTTTTTTTTTTTTTAAGATTTTTATTTATTTATTTATTTGAAAGAGAGAGAGAGAGAAAGAGAGAGAATGAGCTGGGGGAGGGGCAGAGGGAGAAGCAGACTCCCTGTTGAGTAGGGAGCCCAAAGAGGGGCTTGATCCCAGGACCCTGGGATCATGACCTGAGCCAAAGTCAGACACTTAACTGACTGAGGCCACCCAGGCGCCCCTGGGTTCTTTTTAGATCACATTACCTAGAAAAGACATTTTTGAGATGATATTGGAAATTTAAATAATGACTGTTATTAGTTAATACTATGGAAACTGTTAATTTGATGAGTGTGATGTAGTGATTTTGTGATTATATAAAGCAATGGATAAATTATTTAAATATATATGATGTGGGTGGGTGGGAGAGGGAGTGACATTATGTCTAGGATTTACTTTAAAATACCTCAAAGGGGGGCACCTGGGTGGCTCAGTCATTAAGCGTCTGCCTTTGGCTCAGGTTATGATCCCAGGGTCCTGGGATCAAGCCCTGCGTCGTGCTCCCTGCTCGGTGGGGAGCCTGCTTCTCCCTCTCCCACTCCCCCTGCTTGTGTTCCCTCTCTCCCTGTGTCTCTCTCTGTCAAATAAACAAAATCTTAAGAAAAAAAAAAAAAAACCTCAAAAAAAAGACAAAGACAGCAATATTGGTAATATCTTGAATAATTGTGGAATATGGGTGATGAGTAGATATATAGGAATTCATTAGGCTTTTCTCTTTTATATATAATTGAAAATTTTTATTAAAACAGTTCGGTTTTTGTGTCCACTGGACCACATATTTTTGTTGCCACTATTCCTCTCCCAACATTTAGAAAATATTCTTAAATCCTTAAAAAATTTATATATATATTTTTTTAATTTATTTATTTGACAGAGAGCACAAGTAGGCAGAGCGGCAGGCAGAGGGAAAGGGAGAAGCAGGCTCTCTGCTGAGCAGGGAGCCCGATGGGGGGCTCGATCCCAGGACCCTGGGATCATGACCTGAGCCAAAGGCAGCCACCCAACCGACTGAGCCACCCAGGCGCCCCCCAAAATTTGTATTTCTAATCAGAGAATGAGTCTTTCCTTGAACATTTCATCCTCCCTGAGATCATGACCCGAGCTGAAGGCAGACGCCCAACGACTGAGCCACCCAGGTGCCCCTCATCCTTCCTTCTTCTTCCCCTCTTCTTCTTTGCAGTTACTACTGTCTGCTGTGGTATTTTTGCTTGTTGCATGTCTTCTCCACCTGGACTATAAGTTCAAAGAAGGCAGGAAGGATTTTTATCTGTTTTTTGCATTGCTTCATTTTCATTACCTATACCTGTCTAGCACATAGTAGGTGCTTAGTACATCATTGAATGATTGAGTGAGTGGGAACCAGAGCTCTTGAAGGCTAATAAGGATATGGGGTTTGGCCAAGGACAAAACCAAGGAGAACCTCTTTCAAAATTAACCCTGTGGGATTTACAGGGGCAAATGTGGACTAGCACACAAAAATTTGGGGGGAGATAAGAAGCCTTCTCTTCCCTGTTTGACTGTAAAGCCTTACTGTATCAAACATTCAACTATTCTCAGCAATAGGAATTACTCTAAAGTAATTAAGTTATTGTACTGTAATTTCTCTGTCTTTCATACAGTTTTGAGAGGTTTTCCCCCATGATCATCTTTTTATTACTGAATGGCAGTCCCTTCTTGAGATGTATTTTATTTCAAGTTTAGATATTTCTTTTCAGGAAAAAAAATATTTAAAACTAGTGGTTTTTTACAGGCATGATGAATTTTAGAAGCTTCTTATGGTTTCTTTTTATATTAAAAATACATAATCTCACATTTTCATTTTCCTAACAACTCATTTTGTCTCTTTTTCAATGTATATGTGTTTACTAGCTAGATTTTAGTATCTTGTTGCATAGACATCATTATTATCAGTTATCTACTACTTAAAAAAATAGTTTTTAACAGTACTGTGAAACACAGCCAGTAATAATTACACCCAGTAATTAAGATGACTGAAAGTTAAGTATTAAAAGTGACATTTGTGAAAATTCAAAACATTTTATATTTGCTTTTCTAAAATGAATGTTTTTAGAATCACTGCTTTTAAAATTACTGCAGTCATTTTTATAACCAAAAACTGTAAGCCTTGATATAAGGGAAAAATGTAAGCAAAAACTCTAGTGAGCAAATTCTCATTTTTTTCCTAGTCTTGGTACCCATTTACACTCTTAAACATCAAGCTCTTAAAGAGCTTTGATTTATTTGGGTTATATATCTCAGCATTTACCCTGTTAGAAAGTAAAACTGAGAAGTTTTGAAACCATTTATTAAATTCACTTTAAAAATAACAGCTAATTACATGTTCACACAATTAACCTATTTTTGGGAAAATCACAATTTTTTGGAAACAAAAAAATTAATGAAAAAGCTGATATTGTTTTACATTTCTATTTCTTTAAATAAAGTCTAGCTGAATGGAAGACAGTTGGATTCTTATATCTGCTTCTGCATTCAGTCTGTTATGGTACTACATGCCATGTGGTCTGAGGAAAGGTTCAGTGTAAACTCATGAGAGACTGAGAGTGAAAAATACAAATATCGTCTTAGTATTATGAAAATAATTTTGATCCCGCAGACTTCATGTAAAGGCTCAGGGACCCCCAAGGTCCATATTTTGAGAACTGCTGGAATCACTTCTCACTGGGACGCTATATGTGGCAGTACACTGTATTAAATGAAGGAGTAGTTTTAAATAATGTAGTAGTGTCAGTTTGGTAAGTTTCTGTCTGATACATTTTACTTTAAGGGAACTATTGAAGTTAGCTTGTGCTTACTAATATATAACAATTTGAGCAGTAAGGAATGATGCCGTGACCTACAGGGCTATATTTGTGGAGTTCATATCTTTTGGACTACCATGTAATTAGAATGGTCACCTTATTTCTTAGAGAAGTGGAAATTCAATAGAAAGGTTAAAATCTTTAAAGCTTTTGGTATTTAGAGTTACTTGCAGTTAAGGGGGAAAGCATACTTTAAAATTCAGTTAGTTTGTTAAAAACAATCATGATGCTTAATTGTCATTAGTGAGCAAGTATTAATATTTCCACCACCTTTTATACCTATATTTATAGCTAGACAATTAAAAATAGTGTTTTTATCTAAATACTGTTATGTTTCTCTTTCTGATAGTTTTTAAAGCTTTATATATCTTTGTTGATTTGCTTTCTTCCTCCATCTGTATGCAACCTAGGAATCAGTAGTACATTAAATCAGCTGACATGGAAGGAAAAATAATAGATAATGAGAACAGTCCTTATTGCTTACATTCTATTTTAGTTATAACTGATATAAGATCCAGAGGGTGTTGGTGGGGGGATGAAACATTATACCTCAAGTCACTTCATAAGTAAGCTTCACTTTCGGATCTTCTATTTAATGCTTTTTAAGAAAAATAACATTAATGCTAAGTAGCTAGTAAAATAACCTACTCTCATTAATAGCAATATGCATTTGGTAGGGATTTTTATTGATGCTTGTCTGTAAGAATCTTAGCCACAGTGATTTACTTACAGGCTTTTGTTAATTATAAAGCTAATAAAAATCTCAAGTTATTTTGGGCATGCTATCCATTTGTTGACAATGTAAATTATATGTCGTTTTAATGCTTGGTACATTGTTTTTATCTTAGGATGATGTTTTAATTTGTTCATACCTCTCTTAGCTTCCCAGTCTCACACATTTGCTAGGAGGAGTACATCAGCAGCAGTAAGACCTTTTTCCCCAACGTGTCTGACATGCATCTGAAAATGTGACAGAGCAGAGCTTTAGCTAGATTTTAGAAGTTCTTTTGTTAAATCATATAAGAAACTTAAACTGATAGTACTTAACGTTTTTCACATAATGTGTTCTTTTGATGAATAGCTGTATCGCAGCAGCACAGGAAAAGCAGAGTTCTTGGCAATACCAGCTCAATTGCGTCTGCAGATGAGGATTTAAAATTCTATGCAGCAGATAGTACCTCCAGCAGGCGAGTAAAAGGTTACTGCATTATTTTGCTTGTTTGTTTCCATAGCCTTTATCTACAAAAGATTTTTTAAAAAATTCAATGTGAAATGCATGTCTGTTTTTAGACATTTTGGAAATTGATTTAAGTATAACATGAATATCAAAAGGGCAGTGCAAGGTGAAGGAAGAGGCAATGCAATACTGGCTCTTTTTAGCTTTAAATCAAGAACGAAATTGAGCATGAGGCATACACAAATAAGGAACCTTTCAATGCTACAGAAAACAGGAAGTTTTAAAAATATACATTTTCATTCAAGGTGTTTCTTATTACATTTAGTTTTTAGACTATCGTCCTCAAGAAAGGTGCTAACAGATTGATAATCATTGATCTATGAATGTTCATTAAGTTACGTTATTTGAAGTATGATTATTTGGGAAGACTATAAAGTATTTGTATTAAGGTGACCCTTTCTTATCCTGGAAATTATAATGTGAATTATAATTACATGGTTTAAATAATTATCTTTACACATTATTGGCAAAAAATAATGCTTAAGTATAAAAGATACTGTAGTATGGCTGACATATCTAATACGATTGCTTATGTTATCAGGGTGGTTTGTGGGTTTTGCATCTATTTAATGAGATGCAAATAACCCAGTGAGAGAAGATTGAATATCAAAACCATCAGGTTTTTGATACCCACCCCCCATATTGTCCATACCCATCTATAGCCACATGCCCTTTTCTTATTAAAACTCTTCTAACATTTATGATAGCAGGGGTCTCCTTGGGTTATCTTGCTTATTTATTCCATCACTACCTACACCCCTATTTTTGCTGTAGAATTTTTCCCCCCCGCTCTGTATTTCTCAAGTTTAAGTACAATATTCAGAGGCAATTTTTTACTTTGCATATCAACCACCGTCCTGCCCTCCCAGCAATACTGAAAGGTTTTTTTCAGCTACTGTCTAAATTTTGTTTTAAAAAATACATACACTTACGTTTGGTATTTTAGATTGAATAATAAGGTAAAAAGCAATTCTGTAAATCTCTAGCATAGAAGTAAAATCAGTAGATTATTCTTACTGTGAGTGTTTGGCCGGCTTCTTGAATTGAGGAGTCATAAAAGGTCAGCGGTTCTGATTGGTAAGTTAAAGAATCCGTCCAGTAATTTGCTCCCTGTTGTTTCTCAAAGCAATGCAGCAGCCGTTCTTTTCCAGATATTGAGCAGTTCTTGAACAGTGTGTGTGGGGACAGGGAGGGGTGGGGCTCATTCCAGTTGGTTGTTGAAATAGTGTGCATTTACAGAGGGAACAGGTTGGATAGGCTGAGCTGAAGGAGTAGGCAAACAGATCTAAACTGATGGAGGACAGAAAGAGTGGTTAGTATAATTTTGGGGTATAATATCTCGAGTGTGCTCCTTTGTTAAGTACTTGGGCTTTAATATAAAACAGTTTGAAATATTAAAGCACCTTACCTTATTTCTAAAGAGTAGCCAGGAGACTTCTGTTTTTAATATTGACTTTTTCTTGGCGATGAGTTTGTGTCTGGGTATCTTCTGTAGGGAAGCTGATGTTTTATTCTTTTTTAACAGTGTTTCTTTCAGCCAGAGAGCTGCAGAATGAGGCAGTTAGCCAATTTTGAGTGTATATGGGACATTACCAGTTCTGATTTTTTAAGTTAAGTTCTCATCTAATGAACAAGTCTCAATGTGTGGCTGTGGCTGCAGCATTATTTCTTCTTTAATGAAGAGGTTGAGCCGTTCGACCTGCTGCTCCGATCTGTTCTCTTGTAGCCATACCTCAGACCAGTTGCAGAGATTATCCATCGAATGTCCCAGGCAACCAAAGGTAACTACATAGATTTATTTCAAATAAAAATACACAATTAAAATGGATGCCTTATAACTAGGACCAGATGATTAAAAATAAAAGACCAATTAAAGATGTTCTTAGCAGTTTTCTTGACCTTGCAGTAGCTATCCAATATCATTTTGTCATCATCAGATTGTGTAGCAATGGAAATGCTCTGCAGTAATTGATTTTGTAATAGGATCAGGTGATTTACTAGCTGCACTGACAACCACTTGCTTGCTTGCTCTGAGCTGTGGAGCACTCTAATGGATGTTGTGATTGCAGCCTGGAGTTGATGTGAGGCTGCTAGCCACTTAAAGCAGCAGTGCTTATTTTTAAAATTAGAATAGTAAGTTTTAAAAAAAATGTTCTTTGCTTTAAGTTTTGGGTAGCCTCAGTAATTTTATAGTTAATTTGAGTGCCCCCCATGAAATTTTAGAGATTATATGCTATTTCATTCATCAATTCATAAAAAGTTCATTGGTACTAGTAGCCTTGAGTATAAGGAAATGTAAACTCTCTGCTCCCTATGCCTACCTCAGCATCACCATATGTATCAACATACTCTGGTATTGATCATGAGAGCATCTCTAAAATATAGGATTTATGTAAACTATCCTGTGTCATCTAAATGAAACAATATTCTTAATGTTTGTAAATGTTCTCAGTTTCAAACTCTAGCTGTAATTACAGTATTATGGTATTATGGTAAATTCTTGTACTAGTGAGTTGTGTTAGAGTTGTTTTGTATCCTTTTTTGGTATTCTGCTCTTTTAGTGGTTTCATAGGTGTAACGACGTTTTCGGAAGTCTGAGTTGAACCAATTTTAAAGGATATTGATGAAAACATATAGTTAGCTATTTTAAAGTACTGTTTAAGAATATAGCAAATGAAAAACTTAACATCCAAGATTATGAACTTTCAGTGATTGCATTTTAGTAATTGTTTTCATCTTTCTTCTATACCTTTTAAACAAATACTTCATTACAAATATAGAAGGGTAGGACTAAAGCTTAAAGCAGAATAGAACTGCTATTGCAGAAAGAACAGTGAGACTCAGGTACCCATGACTTTGCCTACTTTAAAGTTTGGCTTGGGGCTTTGCATAGGAAAGAAAATGATCTCCCCTCTCCCTTTCTCACCAATTCCTCTACCTCACTATCTAGTATGTAAAGTGTTTTGTACAGAACATAACATATTAAAAACACTGAGTTCTCTATTCTATCCTAGTTTATGTTCTTTAACCATGTTTATGTTCTTGCCATGATAGAGATACCTTTTCTTTCAGTCATACCCAAAAACATTTACAGTGATTAAATAATGTTAATAATTTGCTATAGAAGGAATGGAGCATAAAGTTGCCATTATATATGGTATTCAAACCATCATGTGAAGAGAGCTTTTCCTTCTCATGTACTTAAATACTTGCCCTTAGTGTTTCTTGAAAGATGTAAATATTACCAATATCATTCTGCATTTTATTCTGAATTCAGATACTTAAAACATTAACTATGGAAGACTGTAATATAACTTAAAAGCTAGTGTTTGTAATCTTTTATTCAATAGGTAATAAGTAAGAAGTTTGTTACACCAGCCCCCCCACCACCCTCCCACCCCCAGGCAAAGAAAAGAAAAACAACCTTCTGTGAACACTGGTAACATGAACATAATGATGTTCATATCATTTGAGATTTGGTAAAGGATGTATCTAAATTTCATATATATTGAAGTGTTAAATGGTGGATTAACAACAAATTAATCATTGATATAAGTATCACTGGAGTGGTGTACATGAAAGCTTTTTTCAATGTGTTGAGTGAATAGGAGGAAAGGAAGTATCGAAAGTGTTATCAGTGTTTTTTAAGATTTATTTATTTATTTGAGGGAGAGAGAGAGTGTGTTCCAAGCAGACTGCACCCTGAGCGTGGAGCCCAATGCAGGGCTCGATCTCACAACCCTGAGATCACAACCTGAGTCGAAACCAAGAGTCAGACGCTTAACTGACTCCACCACCTAGGCGCCCCAGTGGTTTGCTTTTAAGATTATGTATGGCTTAATAAGAATAATATCTGCCATGTTTTGATTATCAGCAAATGACAAATATTGGATGGTTTATGTTTGTTATCTCTTTTAATTCTTACCTAAAACCTGTTCATTAAGTATAAGCTCCATTTTAGAATTGAGACCGTTATATGCTTACCTGAAATCATATTAAGTAAGTAGCAGGCAGATCTGGGTTTTTACTTCAGTAATTCTTACTTCAAAACCCTTGTTCTTATCTTTGATATTATCCAGGTCCATCTGAAATGTATGTATGTGTTCATAAATGGGAAACAAGGAAAACTGTAGTATAATTCAGACTGTCAAAGAGTGGAGCAAAATAGATAATGAATAATTATTTATTGTTTTTATTCAGTCACTTTTTATCCTCTCATCTGGATAGTACATGTATGATTTCTGACATTTACTGATAGCCTGCTAATAGCTAGTTTCTTGTGCAAATCACTGGAAATCCTAAGAAGGAAAAGCCCAAAATTGCCTTCTGGGAGTTTATAGTCCTAATGGGAAAGGCAGACAACAAGAGTTTAATAAGGTATTTCAGAACATAGGTATGGAATAGAAGCTGTTGGAGCATAAAATTGTTAATTAATTCTGCTTGAGGGTAGTGGTAAGAGGTACTTGGGAACCTACCTTAGAAGAAGTGAATTTAGAAGGAGCCACAGATTTTATTCTTATCATAGGTCCTGGGAATGTGAGTATTAATATTAATAAGCACTTCCCCCCCCCGTAAGTGTTCTTTAATTTCATTGAAGTTGGAGAATCATCACTACAGGTGGCAGTTGAAACAATGAGAGTACATACAGTAGCTTGAAGAGAGTATGTAGAATGAGAAAGGAGAAGTCAGAAACCTAAAAGCAGTAGTATTTTAGCAAAAAGAGGGTAAGGCCTGAGAGAAGGAGAGTTTCATAGTTACTAAACTGCAATATGAATTAGGCAATGGAAGAGCCCAAAAAAGAAAAGTAGGAATTGCAAAGGGAATGCATCAAAGGAGAAAGGGGTTGTAAAAGTGAATTGGGTCAAAAAGGCCATAGATTTTATTCCTGAATTTCCTAGAAATTATCCCCATGTTCTTTGCCAGTTAAAATCATTACTCTGGGCTTTATAGTAAAATTTGTCCTGTCTCTTTAAATCAGAACTACATGTTTATCATGTACAAATTGACATGAGTAGTTATGGTCTGGCCTCTGTAAGGGGTTTATAGAAAGTAGTCTGTAATGGAGCATTGTCAGTGGATCAGGATGCTGTTAGATTAATGTAACAGTTATAATTTACATATAATAAGTGATATCTTTTTGTATCTAGGGATAGGATTGGACATGACTTAGATTTTGTGGGAATAATCAAGAAAATAAGTTATTTCAAGCTGGAAGAAGAAAGTGATAGAAAAGTTACGTGACAAATATATCCTGTTTCTTTCATGCTTCCACATTTATAAGTTTCTTAATTTTATATATATATATATATATATATATATATATATATATATTTTTTTTTTTTTTTTTTACCAGTATATTTAAGTTATAAACATATACAGTCACAGACTTTGGAGGAAAAGTCTCAGAATTCTGATTGAGATTATAGTATGTAGGAAGAAAATCTTATTCTTTACCCTGAGATTAATAGTAAATAAAAATCATAGTGTTAACCTTTTGAAGATAATGTTTAAGAAACAGATTAGTTTAGCGTTGCCTGGGTGGCTCAGTTGGTTAAGCATAGGACTCTTTATTTTGGCTCAGGTTATGATCTCAGGGTCATGAAATGGAGCCCGTGTTGGGCTCTCTGCTGGGAGTTGAGCCTGCTTAAGATTCTCTCCCTCTCCCTCTTCCTCTACCCCTCTCCCCTGCCATGTGGGCATGCACTCTCCCTCTCTCAATAAAAAAATGAAACAGATTAGTTTAATTTCTAAATGAAAAACTAAACATAGGAAGAGGTTTGCAACCTATTATGCCTATGTCTCTATATAGGAAGGAAGTTAATTCCTAAATTTTGGAGTTGACTAGTTGTTGAAAGTCATAGCAGTCCATCTTCTAAAGAGTGCCTTTTTAAAAAAAGATTTATTTATTTGAGAGAGAGAGAGCTGAGAGTGCGCTTGTGCATTTGCACACTGGGTGGGGGCTGGAGGGGCAAAAGAATCCCAAGCACACTGCCCACTGAGCTTTGGAGTCCTACACAGGGCCTGACCTCACAACCTTGAGACCATGACCTGAACCAAAATCAAGAGTCTGATGCTCAACTAATTGAGCCACCCAGGTGCCCCAAGAGTGCCTTTTAAAATTCATTTAGAA